TCTTTATTTTCTTCACTATTTACCTAAGAGAAAGAGAAAGAGAGAGGAACAAAAAGAAAAAAAATGAAACAAGAAAAGAAATGGAAAAAAAGAAAAGGGAAAAAACTTCGTATGTAAATAATTTACAATAAAGTTACTAATATTTTTAATGCTTTGCGCTTGTTTCGGATGGGTGAGTACATTCTAGACACTGAGGCACCTCGCGCTCTGGGCCTGTGGTTTTGGTTAAAATAAGGTGATGGTGGCTCTGGGGGCTGCGGTTGCTGTGAGGGCTGAGGCTGCACCCACGTGGTGGCAAGGGTTCTAAGTCGGGATGGCTGACACCCTGGGGTTGAGGAGGAAGAAGTGTGTGCCCTGTCTGCCATGCAAGGAACCACTGGAACCAAGGAACTAGGACCGGTGAAGGCCATAGTGCTGGGCACCCCAACTTGTCCTTCCCGAAAGCAAGTGCTCGGAAATCCGGGAGTGAAAAGCCTTTGTAGATGTAGAGTTCAGAAGACTGTGGTGTTGATTTACTTCACCCCCAGCCAGTCCACTGCAGCTAAGTCTCTGGGAGCCGGCCACCAGCCACACTAGCTGTCATAAGAGGACAGCCTGAATCTTCTCTCCTTGGCATCACTGGCTTTTCCTCTTTAAGTTCCTATCTAAAGTCACAGCACTCAGGATTTTAATTTTGCACGTCCCCGTGGTGCGTTCTCTAGCACGAATTTCTTACACTTTGCAAACTTAACTATTTATGAGTGTTTCAAAACAGGTAACACTTTATCTGGTTTTATGTAACAATTACTCTTGCCTTATTGCTGTTAGATCAAATTTATTACCACCTTTGCCTAACCAGACGTTTGATTTATCATTTCTCGGGATCGAGGAGCCTGCGATTAGAGTTTCTCTAAAGCGAATAAAACCCATCAGCTCTGTTCGGACAGGAGCTGACTATGCACCAGTTATCCTGAGAGGTCTAAAAATCGGGGCCAAGAACTCCAAAAGCCCTGGTTTTCTCTGACAAGATGAGATAGGCCCTTTTGGGGAATCTAAAGAAACCAAGAAGCCTTTTTAGTCCCTGGCGGCTTGCGAATATATTTCCTCTTCCAAAAATTCATAAGAGCGGTGAGCAGTGCCCCTAACCAGAACAGGTGTGCGTGTGGGAGGTGGGCTTAGGCTCAGTCTGTTCCTTCCCTGACTGGCAGGGATGGGGGAACCAGGGATTGGTTAATTTTTGTATTTCTCCCCAATTCTTTGGATCATTCCTGGATTCAGAAGGAAGCTGGGGTTAGAGGGAGGGAGGAAAAGTAGCGAGAACAAAAAACAGCTCAAGTGAGATGAAATCTGTAACCTGGGGGGAAGGGGCGGGGGAGCCGTCAGAGGCCTAGTGGGGCCAGGAAGGCCAGTGCAGGAGCACTGGGC